ACATAACAATAACATCATAATTAGGCAGTTAAGGAGCTGAGTAGAGATTTCAAAGGGCAGCTAAAGAAGACAACGTAAAGTATTATTATGAAAAATGCAAAGGGCTAGAGTTGGAAAATCAAAAGGGCCAAATTCACTCAGCCAAAGCTGAAGAACAACAAATTCAAGCCTCAAGTTGCAATACATATCACATGCAAGGAAAATCCTGCTGAAGATTATCCAAAAATGACTGGAAAAGTATATTGGCAGAGAACTACCTTAAATACAAACTAGGTTTAGAAGAGGCTGTGGCTTTGGAGACATTGTTACCAGATGTATCTTGGCTGAAAAGAAAGAGTACAAAGAGGAATGCCTGTCTCTGTCTCATTGACTATGCAAAGGCATTTGTGTAGATCAAAACAAATTTGGCTAACCCTTAAGAACAATGGGAATCTCAGAACACTTGATTGTGCGCATGCAAAACTTAACCAGGAAGCAGTCCTCATAACAGCAAGGAAACACTACATGGTTCATGTGGAACAAATATTCTGAAGGCTGGATTTTGTGAGGAGGAATGTAGCATCAGGATTGGAGGAAGATTCACCAACTTTCGTTATGCAGATGACACAACCTTGCTTACTGAAACTGAGGAAGACCTGAGGTGTTTGCTGCAGAAGATCAAGGGCTGTAGTCTTCAATATGGATTGAAGCGCAACATCAAGAAGACAAAGATTCTCACTTCTAGGCCAGTTGGCAGCACCGTGATAGATAAAGAGATTAAGGTTGTTAACAAGTTCAGCTTGTTTGGCTCTATAATCAACACTTGGCACCTGCAGTCAGGAAATCAAAAGATGAATTACATTGGGGAAGTGTACTGTCAGAAACCTCTGCAAAGTTCCAAAGAGTAGGGAAGTCAGTCTAGGGATTAAGGTGCACTGGATCCAAGCCATAGTCTTCACAATTACTTGCTATGCATCAGAGAGCTGGATAATGATTAAAGATGACAGAAGAATTGATGCCTTTGTGTTGCTGGAGAAGAGTATTGAACATACTGAATGGACTGCCAAGAAAACAGACAGGTCTGTTTTGGAGAGGGTGAAACCAAGTTTCTGCTTGGAGGCAAGGATTTTGAAGCCTCTCTCTCACATACTTTGGGCATGTGGCCAGGAGCAACCAGTCCTTGGAAGTGTGAAGGGACAGTACAGGAGAGGAAGACGCTGCATGAGATGGATTGACTAGTAACTGGGATAATAGGTTAAGTGTGTCAGAGTTAGTAGAATAGCTCAGGGGAGAGCTTAGAGCTGTTGTCCATAGAGTATGAGTGGCAGGCGACTTGATGACACATAGCAATAACAAAAATCATAATTAGTGAGCTCGAGGGGCTTAGTGGTAAGGAGAGGTGCTGCCAACACAAAGGTATGTAGTTTGAATCTACCAGCTTCTCTGCGGAGGAAAGCTTGTCTCCTACTTCGTGATTTACTGTCTCTAAAACCCACTAGAGTGGTCAGCCATGGGTCAGTTCAATGGTACACAACCATGTTTTACCGTGAATACTAATTTAGATTTATTCCTGTAGCTATGATTTCCCCTGCCACATAAGATTTCAGTCTTTATTTCCAAATCCCATCATTACTTCTTTCAATCTGAAATGATCTTTCTTAAGTCTTGCTTGAGTTCTTGAGGGCTCTTTGAATATCTTTTATTGTACAGGTAGTCCCCAGCTTAGAACATTTGCATTAAACAACTGCACTTAGGAAAGTGGGAGTTACGTATTCTGTGATTTAAACTTTGGGTTTATTTAAAAGCACAGTGACTTTTTGTAATTTCATTGGTATACAAAACTGAATAAAAATTATTCTTTGACCACTGTGACTAGCGGTAATATTTAGCTCTACCTATTGTTCTTAATTTTATAAGTTATCATAAAATAGGCTTTCATTACTTATTGGAAGTCCTATTTGGTTTTTTTCTGCAGAAGATATAACTTAACTTTTTTAGTCTGTTAAATAAAACAATTTGTATAACGAAAAAAATCCAAACCCTCTGTGGTTTTCTTTTTTCATATCATAACATTTATTATTATTATGTGATGTTGAGTTGTTTGTGAATTATAACTGACTTATGCACAATAACTCTGAACCCTGTCCTACCCTGAGCCAATTTCATTGTTTCTGACATACCTACCTCCATTACCCTAGTTATGGTGTCAGTCCATCTCTTCCAGAGTCTTCCTCTCTTGTGCTGTTCCTCTACCCTTCCTAGCATGATGCTCTCTTGGTCATCCTTGGAATGTTCAGTACTCTTCTCGAGCATCATAACTCAAATGCACCAGTTCTTCTATCATTCTTGGTTAGTGTCCAGCTCTCTGATGCACAGTAAGCAATTACAAACAGCATGGCCTAGATCAGGTACACCTTAGTCTTGAGACTGACACTGTTGCTCTTTTGCACTCTGGGAGGGAGAGGTCCATGACAGCAGATTTGCCTATTCATCTTTTGATTTTCTGACTGCTGGTACCAAGAATGTTGATTGTGGAGCTAAGCATGCTGGAATTGTTGGCAGTCTCAATTTTTTTCTCCATCTATCATGGTGCTGCCAATTGGCCCTGTGGTGAGAATCTTTGTCTTCTCGATGTTGAGCTGCAATCCATATTGAAGACTGTAGACCTTGACCTTTTACAGCAAATGATTTAAGGTCTCCTCAGTTTCAATGAGCAAGGTTTTGTCATTTCTGTAATGCAGCTTGTTGATGAGTTTTCCACTAATCCTAATACCACATCCTTCAGGTACTCCTTTCTTAATTTTGAATCTTACAGTGTTTCCTTGTTCTGATGACTTCTTCCTGGTCCAAGTGTAGGTTTCTCTTGAGCACAATCAAGTTTTCTGGATTCCCATTCTTTGCAACATTAGCCACAATTTGTTGTGATTCAGTCAAATGCCTTCACATAGTCAATGAGACATAGACACATCACTGTGGTACTTTCATCCAAGATCCATCTGACATGGGTTATGATGTCCCTAGTGCCATGGCCTCTTCTCAACCCAGATTGTATTTTGGGTAGTTCTCTATCTATGTACTGTTCAGTCAGTTTTAGATAAATCTTCAGTAGGATTTTGCTTGTGATTTACAGCCTCTGAAAACTTGCTGGAAGGTCAGCTATGAGTTGGTTGCAACTTGATGGCATATTACATTTATATATGATATTTTAACATATAATTTGCTAATGCTAACATTTTCTTGCCAACCTCCAAAGATAATAAAGGTTTGATAATAAAAGACAATAATAATGAAAACTTAAGAAAAAAATAAATAAAAGATTGTCTTAAGCTAGGTCAGACTATCACAAGAATTATAGGAATGGGAAATTCTCAGCCATTTTTATACCCTCAAATATTACTTCTACTTCACTTTTTTCCTGGTTCTTCAGTTTAATTAAGCATTCATTAGGCCTTTTCTATCCTTTGTCTCCTAAGTGCCTCAAAGTTCCCATCTTTTTGTTTTTCTGTCTTACATTTCACATGTTCTTCATATTTTCCTAGTCTGCTATTAAGTTCCATTATTGTGGTTTTAACGGCAGAAATTTATCTATATCTACATGTTCTTTTTGTATTTTTAAAACATATTACTGTTGTTGGATGCTGTCAAGTCAGTCTGACCATCATGTAACAGTGCAATTGCCCCATAGATTTTCATTTATGTATTTAAATCTGGAAAGCATGACTGTAGTTTATTTCTCACATCTGTGAATCTTTTTATTGCTTTTAAAGGTTCTTGCTTTGTGTACTTGATAGTGTATTTCTGCTTGAAAGATTGTTTGTAAGGGGAATTAGAATAGTGGTCCTTAGGCCAGAAAGAATTTGTGGGGTTTTTTTACACAAATTTGTGTTTCATAGCTTAAAGTCTTTTCAGCCACCCACTAAGTGTTGAAAATCTGGACAGGTCCCGGTATAACTTTACTATTTCATTGATATTTATGGTAACATTTTATTAAACAGCTTATATTTTCTTATATTGGCATATGCTGTCAGGGATAAGGTGACTTATTTTCTGTTTGACTATCTGGGTTCTTAACTTTCCTTCACTTCTAGATGGAGGATTAGATAATGCTTGCAAATTTTCAGTGTTTTTGGTCATGTTTGGAAAAGCTAGACTTAAATGCTTTCAGTGAGGATATTGGTCCTAGTATCTTAGCAGAAATTGTAGAAGTGGGGGCATAGTTATTTTTTACAACTTGAGAAGTTGCATATTTTTCACACTATTTAGGAGATTGCTAGAATATTTTAGCATATTTTATTATTTTTAAAAATTTTTAATTATTATTAATTTTAAAGAGACTTTGGATTTCCATTCATATTTTATTATTTTCTTAACATATATGTAGGATGTAATGTAAAGAAGTTGAGTAGTGTTAATAAATCTCATAGTGTTCATTTTTTTAAGATCTATTTTATTACTTCATGGAAAGATAAGAAAAATACGAGTTGTCATAAAAGTGCTTAAAATAATCAAATCCTAGAAACTTAGACCTAGAATAAAGATACCTGACTTACTCATTATGCCTTAGTGTCAAAATGATTTGATGATTTTTTTTTTTAATTTTAGAGTTCAGTTTTGATTATGAAAAGAAACAGAAAAGTACTTCTCAGATCTTTTTTTATTTGTTCCTCACTCTTCAAATATGGTCACAACTGCTTGTTGCTAATTTACATTAGTAACATTATACAGAGTATATTCTTTCAGAGGAAACAATCTGTGGGTTTGGTAATATTTAGTAAGATCAAGAGATAAATGGCAAGGCTAAGCCTAAAGAAGAACCCTAATCATATGTAAACTAGTAGTACTGTTTTTTGCCCTGGTTATTTTATTTTGGCTTATTAATTTAAGATGCATAAATGTAGTTAACCCAATAAATCCATTGATCCTATTAAAAGAGTAATTATTAATAAATAATACTCTTTTATAGTGTTTAAACATGGAATAATTTCCTTCTCATTTTACATCTGCCTTTTTCTTACTTATAGTAGCCCCAAATGATTTGTACATCGTAGAACCCGTCAAGTTTTCACCAGAGAAAAAGGTAATATTTTGTTTTCTTTTATATGTATTGATACATGGTCATCCATGAATAAAAAGTTGGAAAGGTTTAATACAACCTTTAAGTTGCCCTTAATCTTACTGTTTATTTTCAGTCAATAAATTGTTGTAGTTTCTTGGTGACTGTTAACAGCAGGACAGATATGCCTTACAGCTGAGACAGGTTGTTTTTTTTAAGTGTAAAATCAAACTAAGGATATGCAACAGAAGATAGTAAGTATTTTAAATTTTGCAGGTCGTATGCTAACTGCACTTTTCTAGATACAATTTGCCATTATTTATTTGGGTAAGATGAAGCACAAAGCATGCAACAAGTGTCTGGAACTGGTACTATCCAATTTTTCAGATAAGAAAACTGAAACACAAAGAGTTTGTAACTTTCTTAAAATGACACATATCAAATCTCAGAGTCTGTATTAGCTACAGAATTTGTTCTTCACATTTTGCCTCTCGTTATTCTCAATTTGATTAGAGCTGTTTCTACAAATGCCTGACCACAATGGAATGGATTGAAAAATTATGGTATATTTACACAACAGAATACTATGCAGCATGCAGGAGCAATGATTTTGTAAATTACTACCTAACATGGGAGGGTCTAGAGAGCATTATGCTAAGTGAAATAACTCAGTCTCATAAAGATAAATACTGCCTAAGACCATTATTGTAGTATGAGCATCCAAGATGAGGCACTTAATCATACGGTCACACAATTTGATGGGTGGAGGGAGAGATGGGTAAAGGAAAGGGGGAAAATATGGTGTGAAAAACAATGTATATGCACTTTATGAACTTTGTAAGTAAATCAGTCTAAAAATTCTTGTCTAAGAATTGGAGATTAAAATTACCACCTTTCTGAGTTAATAAGTAGGTATTTAAATGTCAGTCATCACCTTTAAAGTCATATTCTAAAATAGTACATAAAGAGTTATTGAGTAATAGTAACAAAATAAGGTTGTGATGGTCGGAAGTATTTTTTTTTCATGTATGGTGAGCATATTTGGCATAGGAAACATGTGAGGGAGTTGTGCAGTTATGTTTTTTTATGAAAAACATAACCTGTATAAATGCAAAGTATATATTTACTATGCCATTTTATTTTTCACCAGGAGATGGCATTTTCATCCACTAGTTCTCTAAAATGTTTGATTAGATAACTATATATAGGAGATCTAATTCCTACCCTTTCTTTTATATATGTCACAGAAGAAATGCTACAAATATAAAATGGAAAAAATTGAGACCATCAAGCCAGCAGATCCATTGCATCCAATAGCCAATGGAGACATAAAAGGAAGGAAACCCTTTACGAACCAGAGAGATTTTTCTAATATGGGAGAAGTTTATCACTCTTCTTATAAGGGTCCTCCATCTGAAGGAAGCTCAGAAACTTCATCACAATCAGAAGAGTCTTATTTTTGTGGCATTTCAGCTTGCACAAGTCTGTGCAACGGACAGTCCCAAAAGACAAAGACTGAGAAGAGGGCTTTAAAACGAAGGCGATCTAAAGTTCAAGACCAAGGAAAATTAATAAAAACTCTAATACAGACTAAGTCAGGATCATTGCCGAGCCTGCATGACATAATCAAAGGAAACAAAGAGATCACCGTGGGAACGTTTGGTGTTACAGCAGTCTCGGGACATATCTGAAATGTTTTTGTACTGGAGACTTTTTTGTTCTCTAAAGAACAGTCTGTGGTATTTGAAGGGGTTGAGGGAGGGAGAAACTATGGGAAAAGTATTCAGAAATTATGGTTTCTGCCTTTTAAAAAAGTAGATGGGATTGTGTCAATCTTGGTTAATGAGCTGCAGTTTTACAAGGCTGATCACTTCCTACAATTGTAGACATTTTATAAAGATTTTTTTTTCACAGATTAATTACTGGGATAAAAGTAATATGGAAGCCCAGTTCCTTGGGTGGGATAGGAATGAAAGCCTAAACCTCTTCCTTTAGCTTTGTTCCTATTTCTTGCACCTTCCTATATTTATGTGCCTTTTGTCTATTTATAATGCCACTGGAAGAGGAGGGAGACTTTCTGTCATTTGATTTCTTTTATAACTTTGTTAGTATTTTGGAAGCTGCAAACACTGTAAGTCTTTAAAGAGCTTAGCAATGTGGGTCCTACAGTGTAAAAGATCCTAAAAGAATTGCCAATTAAGATTTGTTTAGCAAACTCACTGACTGTAAACACTCACTGAAATTTCCAAGATTTGTTTTTTGGGTTTTGTTTTGTTTTGTTTTTTGTACATGGTGATGCTCTTAGTGTTTTTATATAACTCATTTGGCTTGGGTTACTTTTTCCATAGTCACTAAGTTACAGAAAGTAAACTACCATATTCAAGCTTTTCTTGAAAATGGCTAGTAATTACAGATAATTTTTTTATAAATTCCCCTTTTCAAGCCATTTGTGAAGGCTTTCTTTAGCTGTATAACCATTCACAGTGAACACTAATCTTTAAAAAATTTGAAGGTTTGGTAAATGAGTCCCAGTTTCATCTAATCTAATCACTGCCTATGTACATGTGCACAGAATCAGCTCATGAGTCTGTTAAACTTTGTCTAATTGGTCAAATCTAAAGGGATTATTCATTGATGTTTGCTTTGTATTGGCTATAAATGTGCAGAGGTATACTTGTGTGGTATCAATGTCTTTGTTTTTTCTTTTCTTTAAAAAAATGATTGTCACTGACTAAAATGAATTTTTCGTGTGTGACTGTATAGTAATGAGTGAAAGTAGATGTTTCTTTTTGAAAGGGAGAGGAATTGACCATTTTTGTTGTTGTAAAACTTAAGTTATAACTTATTGAGCACTTTTAGTAATAACTGTTCATGAACTAGTCAAATACCTTTCTGGGGGTATTGTTTGTAATGTGACTTATTTAAAGCCCTTTTTGTTTGTTTACGTTGCTGCTTTTATGTTAGGTTAATAGTACGTTTTAGATTCTTTTTGTCCGGTCTGCACAATTAGCCATTCAAAGCAAGAGGGCTTGATTGTATAGATGTCCACTGAAAGAGGTCCAGTTTGGAGTAGAGTTGGGAGTTGCAGCATCCAGTGTTGTGGAAGGAAGACTTAAAATATGTAACTACAGAGCTGTAGTGCCATTAGAAACTGTGAATTTCCAAATAAATCTGAACACTTGTCTTTATTAATTCCTGGCTGGTCTGATCTTTGAAAGAGAACCCAGAAATTCTTTATTAACCCCACAAACTTTTCACTTTTAAAACTGAGTAAGGCAGTAACCCATTGAATAATTTGATCACATTTCTGCCAACTATGACCTTATTCAGCTTTTTTTTTGTTCCCTAGATAATCATAATGCCATCCTTTAAAATACTAAAATGACTATTTTCTTTAATAGGATACATTTTGTGAGTTTTTAAAAATAGATTTTCATGAATGTACTTCTCATTTTTTGGGAGCCATCTACTAATTTTTAACTTTCATATCTAAAAAACCCATAGCATTCTGCTCATCCTTTTTTTGATGAGTCATTGAAAGGTACATTGGCACATGAGTTGTACATAGTATGTGCTTCTTAGGAATAAGGACATTCACCTACAGGGCCATAATACTGGTATCAAACATTGTGAAGTGGCGTCAAGTTGTCGATGACTCAGAGTAACCCTATGAACAAAAGACCTGAACACTTGTATAACGTTCATTATTTCTCCAAGTTCATAGGGTTTCTGGAGACAAGCTATTTCAGAAGTGGATGCCACTCCTGCTTCCAAACTTATTTTGATCGGGGAGCTACACCAAACACTGTCACTGTCTACCATGAGTAACCATTATCACATTAACTAGTAATGCTTTATAGTCTAGTACTAGCTTTATTGTTGTTGTGTATGACTCAGAACTGACTGATAACTGACCCTCCAACAAGTTTTCAGAGGCAGTAAATCACATGGGAGGAGACAGCCCATCTTTCTCCCCCAGAGCAGCTAGTGGATTTGGACCGCATGCCTTGGGAATTGCAACACAGCTTTTGCATTGCACTAGATCCCATTAGACCACCAGAGTTCCCTTATAATGTGGTAGTTGTAATTCCATAAAACAAAATATGTATGATTGAATACGAAGTTAATTTGCTCAGTAATTTTGCTCAAATTATAATAAGTTTTTTTTAAAGCTTTATAATAGTTCCATATTGTCTACTACTTTAGTGTATATATGAATTTCTCCAGTTATCCCCACTTACAGTCAAACTTATAAAACAATTAAGATCCTAAATTCATTAGGTTGTGCAATTAGTCTCTTAAATATTATTTAGTTTTATATTAGTAATTTCTGCATCTGGAAGACAACCATGTGGCCAATTAACTGACTGGAAGGGATCCATATTTATTCCCATTTCCAAAAAAGGTGACCCAACAGTGTGGAAATTATAGAACAATATCACATGAAAGCAAAATCCTGCTGAAGATGATAAAAAAGCGGCTGGAACAGTACATCAACAGAGAACTACCAGAAATACAAGCTGGGTTTAGAAGAGGCTGTGACAACTAGTCCCGTCATTGTAAATGTCAGATGGATCTTGGTTGAAAGCAGAATACCAAAGGAATGTATGTTTCACTAAATATGCAAAGGCATTTAACTGTGTCGATCACAACAAATTCTTTCTAACCTTGAGAATTGCATAACACTTGGTTGTGCTCATGCACATAATTGGACCAGGTGGTAGTCAGGACAGAGCAAGAAAACACTGCATGGTTCAAATGTAACCCAACATGGTTCAAATTTAGAAGAGTGTGTCAGAAATGTGTCCTGTCTCCATACCATTTCAATCTGTATGCAAAACAGATCATTCGGGAGGCTGTACCTTATAAGGAGGAATGTGACCTCAGGATTGGAGGAAGATTAATCAACGTTTGTTATGCAGATGACATGACCTCCTTCCTGGAACTGAATAGGGCCTGAGGCATTTGCTGTAGGTAGAGGACTGTAGTTTTCCATATGAATTGAAGTTCAACATCAAGACTAAGGTGTTCACTACTGGGTCAATTGGCAACATCATGATAGATGGAGAAGTGATTGTTAAGAACTTAGGCTAGCTTGGTTCCACAATCAACACTCTTGGCACCAGCAGTCAGGAAATCAAAACATTAATTGCCTTAGAAAATAGGTTGTCGGGTCTCTCCAGAGTGCTGAAGAGCAATGATGTCAGTCTAGAGAGTAAGGTGCACATGATCCAGGTCATGGTCTTTGTAGTTACTTGCTATGCATCAGAGATCTGGACAGTTATTAAGGATGACAGAAGACTAGATCTCTTTCAGTTGTACTGGAGAAGAGAATTGAACATACCGTGCACTGCCAAGAGAACTAACGGGTCTGTCCTGGAAAGAGTTAAATCAAGCTGTTCTTGGAGGCAAGGCTTTTGAAGCTCCATCTCACATACTCTGGGCATATAGTCAGAGGGATCAGTCTTTGGAGAAGGATATCATACTTGGAAGAGTCAAGAGACAGCACAGAAGAGGAAGACCACAGATGAGATGGATTGACATAAAAGGGATAATGAGAGTAGATGTGTCTTAAGACAATGAGATTGGTTCAGAAGGATTGTGCAAAGGGTCACTATGAATCATCGATTCAGCAGCACATAACAACAACATACTAATTAAAAAAAGATAATAGAGGACCAAAAACCAAGCCCAGGGATCTCAAATATATATTGCATGAAACCCACTTTAAATCTGTGTGTTTATCTTTAAAAAGATAAAGACATACCATATTAACACAAAAGCTTGAGTAGCTATATTTCAGATAAAGTATATCTCAGCAAGGGAATATATCAGGTATTAAAAAAAAGTACTGTGCAATGATAAAGTGGTGAATTTCTAAGAACGCATAGTCCAAAATATGAGGCAAAAATTGATAAATTCCTTTATAATTGGAGACGTCAATCTCCACCAGTAACTCACAGCCAGAAAATCCTAAAGATAGTGAAACTAAAAAGTACTAGGACCTGAATTTAATTGATCTATACAGAATACATATTTCAGCTAACAGATGCTGCCCTGGATATGCTCACCAAGTTGTGCCAAGAAATCTGGAGAACAACCACTTGGCCAACTGACTGGAAGAGATCTACCCATTCCAAAGAAAGGTCACCCAACTGATTGCGGAAACTAAGAATATCATTGATTTCACCTGCAAGCAAGATTCTACTGAAGATTATCCAAAAACGACTGGAACAGCACATTAGCAGAGAACTGCCGGAAGTCCAGGCTGGGTTTAGAAGGGGTCGTGGTACTAGGGATATTGTAGCTGATGTTAGATGGATCTTAGCTGAAAGCAGGGAATACCAGAAGAATGTCTATCTGTGTTTCATCGATTATGCAAAGGTGTTTGAATGTGTGAATCATAACAAACTGTGGCTGACTCTGAGAAGAATGGGAATCCCAGAACATTTAATCGTGCTAATGCAAAACCTATGCTTGGACCAAGAGGCAGTCGTCAGAACAGAGCAGGGTAACACCACATCGTTCAAAAATTGGGAAGGTTGTACTCCAGGGATGTGTCCTGTCTCCATACCTTTTCAACCTGTATGCAGAGCAGATTATCCGAGAGGCTCGGCTCTATGAGGAGAAGTGTGGCATCAGGATTGGTGGAAGATCTATTAACAATCTGCGTTATGCAGGTGACACAACCCTG